ATATATATAACACTATGACTATATAACTATGTATCTATAAGCACGAAACCCTATTCTAATCATGAAGGCCCCTATAGTAGGGCTTCTGGCACAGAGCTTAGAGCCTCGGACGGTCTGTGCCATCGATGCTTCAGGGAATCTTCATAGGCCCAAAGCATGCCATCAACTGTCGGCAGTTTTTGAGTTTAGGGTTTAGGAAGTAGGGTTTAGGGGCTCATGGCTGAGATGCAAAGCTCCCTCGATTTGCCTCCCAGTCTTCCCCGCATTCCTTCCCCGTCTCTCCCTCCCATAGAGTCGACCCAGTGGGGAATCCGGCTCTTTCGGTTTGGAGTCCACTGGCATGCGCTGGGTGTTGTCACACCATAGCTTCATCCGGCCTCTGGAGCACTACAAGCTCCCCCCTCCCCCAAAGTTAGCATTCCCTTTCAGCTCCAATCTTCCAGCCGGCGCTTCCTAAGACTTGATATGCACCAAAAAGGAGAGGAATGGGTCTCGTTCCAGATTCGCCAGCTGATGGTGAACATCGTGAGGACCATCACCATCATCATCTTTAGTGTGTTGCACGACTGCTGTGAAACAACGACAGTGACATTCATTCTAAGAGTGTTTATGATGCTCTGCGGCCTGTCCTAGTACACCCGCTGGTCTACTTTAACATTCATGAAATTTTACCTGGCGAGAACCCCCCCCTGAAGCTGTGCCGAATGAACCTCGACATGACCCTCCGCTCGAAGACGTCCTGAACCCTCCAGGCTCAAACAGCGAAGATGGCGACGACGAAGATGAGGACGAGGACAAAGAAGCGGAGGATGAGGATGAGGAGGAGGATGAGGATGAGGATGAGGTTAGGGGTTCAGAATCTTTTTGAGATTCGGGAGTTCGCTGCGACGTCTTGTCTTGCCAAGACTTGTTTCCCAATTCTGAGATGCGCTTGTTGTCCTTGGTGGTGAGCTCTGCCATAGACACACTCAGTGCAGCTTGAAGCCTCTAATGTAAAAGCCTAATAATCACCACTTTTATTCCTTAGGGTTCCTTATCGTATTCCCCAAACCCTCTTAGATTATCAAGGCCCCGACATCATTGTTGAAATTGTGACTTCCAGAAGCATAGACTCTCCGAAGAATGGGTGAGGCCCAGACATTTTAACGTTTAGGGTTTGGGTTTCAGGATTTAGTGATTGGCTTTTAGGGTTTAGGGATCTTAACCGCAGATGTGAGCAAGTGTCAAAGGATCACAGCGTCCAAAACTTTACTGCGGCCATCATCTGGAACAGTTCTGTTTAGATTTTTAGTGCCATTAAGCATAGTCCGTATACCTGCAGCGTGCGGCCTCAGATGTCGAAAACCGGAAACCGCAACCCAAAACGAACACTGTTCTTCTCAAATTCACTCACTTTCGGGCCCCCGGTCCCCTCAGCTCAACCCTAAACCCTCAAACCCTAAACCCTAAACCCCTAAGCCCTAAACCCCAAAACACCTGAATGGTGAAGTCGAAAAGATGGGTGCGAGGCTGAAGAAGGACCTGAAGAAGACTCCAAAGATTCGGCAGCTCGGAGGTATAAGGGGTTTAGGGGTTTTAGGGGTTCTAGGGTTTGAAGGTTTTGGGATTAGTGAGTTCGGAACCCTTTTCCATGAACCTGAACAGCCTCTGTTCCCCCTCCCCCCCCCGCCACCACCGAAAAGACCGGCCTCCTGTCAGAAGTCAGGCGAAGAAATCGGAAGAGTCTGCATCGAGCAAGGCTGCAGCAGATTGAGCTACAGCTTCTAGGGTTTAGGGTTGTAGTTAGTGGTGTGCTTGCTGAGGTGCTCTTAGTAACAGTATACTTTCATTTTTGCTTGCAGTTGAACTGTGACCTACTCTTTCTGTGGGGTCATTTCCTGACTAGTATACTATCGTCTAATTCGTAAGACTCTGTAGGGAGGGGGCTATTGAGGCTGAGACCTGACACTTGAGGTTAGGTTGGGAGGTCCCGAAGAATAAGGGGGTACCTAATTTTGGGGGTCCTTACAAGAACGATCCGACTATTGGGGGTACTATATATTAGGGCCCCTTGTTTTCAGAAGCCCGCAGGTGTCGCCAAGTGTTAGAATGAGTGTGGGCTTGGGTAGCTAGCACTAGTATTCCCTACGGTTCCTGTGGTTAATGGTACACAACCACTCAACCCCAGTCGAAATACTAATCGGGCTGCTACAAACCCTACATGTAGTCAGGGATGGCCTCGCCCGGTTTGGGCAATTACCACTTCCCAACTAGTAGCCATTATATCGCCAAGCCAAAGACTTTACCATATAGAAATTATCAGATGTTCAGGTGGTGTAATTCCCAAAATGGGCAAAGCGAGGTGTATTCAGTTTATGGGGCGTAGTAATATGAGGCATGGGGTGGGTTCGGTTAGCCACTACTTGGTGGCACTTCGCCATTGGCGAGATCAAACCCACTACCTATGATGCTTGGCGTGCGGATCAAGTAGAGGAATCTAGGGGCTGGATTAGTCGGAGACAGCATTCGTTTATAAAAGTGCCTGTGCAGCTTTACCATGATATACCGCGAGAGGCTATCTCCCCCCTGGCCGCCCGACAGGCAAAGCAACCAACCGCGAAGGAGTGGGCCGGGACGAGATGAGTTCTTGAGATCTGGTGTGGTTCCTAATCCCGAAAGCCCAAATCCCGTGACGCCTGGGTTTGTCTTGGTGAGGTTCTGGAGTCCTTCGCACCATCCGCCTGCTGTCAACCTTGCATGGCAGTTGGGGGGGTTTGACCGCAGATGTCCTTCAACGGAAGACCAGGCGTTCGGGTTCACAGAGTCTTTTAGATTATTGGCATGTTTCATGTTGTGCAAGTAGCTGATCAATTCATTGCACTTCCTGATCACGATGATGATGATGACGATGCTGATGATCATGTTGGTGGTGCTGGTGATGATGATGATTATGACGACGATGGCGATGTTGATGTTGAGGTAGTCGTTGATGATGATGGCAATGCTGTTCGTCAGAACGCTGATGGTGCATAAAGCGATTGACTCGACGGTGGCGAATGTGAGATGCTTCTGGGCGAGATGAAAAGATGACGATTTTGATTTTTCGGCGAGTGTGATTATCTCAGGGATGGTGGTCATCACTAAGTGATGATTGTTTAGAATGTTTAACCGTCTCAAACTCAGCTGTCCTGATGTCCACATTATGATAATACATCGCATCGCGCAGAAAACGCACCACATCGTCGTTGTCGTCATCACTGTCTTGATGGTTGCCTGTCGCGTTATTTCCATCATCCACTGTGGTTTTCTGTTAGCTTGCAGTCGTCGTTGTTGACATCCTGCTTCCCGATTCGGCTCCTATCATTGCTGCTGCGGTCATCGCGGGCAAGGTCGTGGGCATGTCGAAAGCCCCCGACAGGAGTGCGCAGCCAGGAAGAAAGCAAAGAAAGGCGAGTCCCCAGCTGGTTGAATGGGGAAGAGGGGCTTGACAAAACGAGTATTGTTTATGAGTCTTGGGGTTTGGAATTTAGGGACTGTTTTGGTGCCTGTGTGCCTGTCGACCCTGAACACGTTAGCCTTGTACGTTTGACGACTATCCCAACGGTACACAGCAGTCCCCTCGATTATACCTGAAATCCACTAGGATAGAAAGGGCCCATAGCCCCGAACCCAAGCCTTTATGCAAGCGATGTGGATGATTTTGGCGATCCTCGCCAGAAGGGGTTAAATTTCAAAGGATTTAGGGTTTAGCTTAGGGTTTAGGGTTTAGGGTTTAGGCTTATAAGTGTCTTCTAGATTCTAGGTCATTCTAGGTTTTAGGGTGTGCTGCAGGCTCTAGGGTTTGGCGCTATTAGGCTTCTTCCAGAGTTTCGGGCCGAGGCTTTAGGGCTCTGGGGTTCCAAAGGGTTTGGCGTTTAGGGTTTAGGGCTTAGGGGTTTAGGGGTTTAGGGGTTTAGGGGTTTAGGGGTTAGGGTTCAGCGGCTTCAAGGGGGCCTTTAGCATGTCCGGGTTCTAGGTATGACCTGCACAGACACCGCACGAACTGTGCTAGATAAGGTTCCCCTCTTATCAGGGTGCAGTCTACAACCAGCAAGTTTGTTTTCTAGATTGTGGGTTTCGGGACAGACATGACGGTAGTTCTCTTGAATAAGGTTTCCTTTTAGGGTCTTTATGTATTACATACATTGGGAACCCAAAATGGGACCCTAATTTAGAGCACTACGCATGGAATTCCGTTCCGTGAAGCAGGCACAGAGATCTGGTGCGGCTGCAACACGAATTCCGAGCCCATCGACAAAGAGGACAGTCTAACCCTACACCCCAAAACCCTAAACCCCTGAACCCCTCAACCCCTAAACCCCTAAACCCTAAAGCCTAAAGCCTAAACCCCTAAACCCTAAACCCCTGGACCTCTGAACCCCTAAACCCCTAAACCCTTAACCCTGAACCCCTAAACCCTAAACCCTAATTCCTAAACCCTGAACCCCTAAACCCTAAACCCCTGAAGCCTTAAACTAAACCATAAACCCTAAACGTCCGGAGCCGCAAACCCCAAAGCCTGAAGCCTGAACCTCCCTCTACTACAGGGGCCTTAACAGGTAGAGTAGAATGTTGAGGGCTATATTATAGTATAACGGGTATATAACAGGTAGAGTGTAGACTCTGGGGGGGGGGCTATATTATGGTATAACGGGTATATTATAGTATAACTGCATTATAGTATGACAGGTAGAGTAGACTTTGGGGGGGGCTATATTATGGTATGACTCCTAAGGCATAGTAAGAATTTTAGGGGTATATTATCGTATAACTGCAATAAGAGAACCCCAAGGCATAGCATGGAAAAAAGCATTCAGACTTCTACAGTAGTCTCTATGCCCCAGACCACAGAAACCAGAGTGCAACACGACAGCGGTGTTCAAGATCCAGGATCTAGCCCCACTCCAGCGCAAGAGCATATATATATATATATTATATTATATTATATATATGTGGCCCAGCAGGACCCCAGGCTTTAGGCTTTAGGGGTTTTTAGGGTTTAGGGCTTTAGGGTTTAGGGTTTAGGGTTTAGTGTCAAGCCCCAAACCCGAAACTCTCTAAATCCTAAACGCGTAAAGTCACGCCGTGCCCGATCGCGGATGAAGCCCTTCTCGAAGGATGCCTGCGAAGATCAGGGCGGAGGCCTGTGCCCAGGGTTTAGTCCACGGTTTAGGGTTTAGGGAGTTTAGGGAGCTTAGGATTTAGGATTCAGAGTAATATAGTCTCCACTCTAGTTCCTTTGCGAGGTTACCTTATAAGGTCCTCAACATATAACTGGTTACAATGGAGACTATAGGTATTTCATAGAGCTCCTGAGCATGATGGAGGTCGCTTTTTGTGCTCAGGCTCCATGGGCTCTTGTTTTACAAGGTTAACCCCTTGTTTGGATAACCCTAAACCCTAAACCTGAACCCCAAAACCCATGGGGTACTCAGCCCCTAAGCAACACTCCGCGACCCCATCATCCCCACAACAGCTGCGCCTCGAGGCCGCAACACGGTTTGCCAATGGCCACCTGGCAGACATTCTTTGACCAGGAGACTAGGAGTTCAGGGTTTGTATGGACTCATACACGTGTATATATACATAAACAAATATATATATATACACATATGTACGTATGTATATATATATATATACATGTACATGTACATGTACATGTACATGTACATGTACATATATATGTATATGTATAT